TGCGGGAGCAGAGCGGCAGAAACCCTTTCTCCCCAGCGGGTCGAAGAGCCCTTTCCGGACCAGGTGATGCCGGCCTTGCAAGTGTTTGAGGAAACGGACGGGTTGGCCGAAGCAGGTCTCCGGGCTTGAGTCGCGTGTCAGGAAGCCCGGGCTCTCGGGGGAGTTTCTACACGCCTCTCTCGTCGGACCGGCGCGCCGGCTTCCTTTCGGCGTTCCCGCGGTACCCTCGGGGACAGCCTGACCCGGCGGACCGGCGTGCGGTGCCTGCCGCCCAAGGACGGAAACGCTCTGCCAACCTGCCCACGGCCAGCCGGGACACCCACCCGCGGGCCCCCAGAACGCGCTCTCTGCGCCGCGGCGACTTCGTATCCGTCCGCGAACGTCGAAGGATCGCTGGGGGCCGAGGGTCCAGCGGAGCGCTGCTAACGGACCCCCGCCCCCACCGCGGCCGCCGAGTCCACTCCGCGCGGAGAACTTCCAGGCGGGATCTTTCCCGAAGCGTTCTCCCCTGTTGCTGCCCCCTGCGCCGCCAGGACTGCGTCCGTCCGAAGGGTCAGGCGGAACTTCCCCCTCCGGGACAGATTGTATCCATGACCCTGTGCCCTCTCCCCAGGTTACTAGATTCCTGAAGCCACAGGTAATGGCTGTGGGCCGGACGCTTAGTCCCACCTCCCTGTGAGGGGCTCAGAGAAGGAACTCCTGTGGCTTTCAGGCAGCTCTGAGGGGACGTCGGTGCTGCAGCCACTGTTACTAAAAACAAAACCGAAAAACGAACAAAGAAGGTGACGGCATCTCTTTCCCCTGCTTTCACATGCCTTGATGTGAAAAAATTCCCCCTCGGCTGTCTTAAGGCCTCATTTTAAGTTGTTTCAGCTGGGTATAATAACTTTCCTCCCACTTTCTTAGACATGGCCTGGAAGCAACCATTTTGAAAAATCAAAAGGGTATTTAAGTCTAAAGTCAGGACAAGAAGAAGTTACCTATTCTTCCTCCCTATTTTAGATATGTATAGTACATGTTCATTGTGGGAAATTTGGGAAATGCAGATACACATACAAAATAAAATAAATCCATACAGTCCCAACCTCAGAACAAGTACAGTTACTATTTTAGCAAGTACTGTGACTGTCTGTTCTTGTTAGGCACGGTCAAGTCCAGTTTGACTCATGAGGTCTTTCTCCCAGGGAACTGGCTAGGTGAGTTTAAACCTCATACCCCTCAGTTACCACTGGGCCCCTTAACCATTGGCTCTACCAAAGCCCCATATTGTATAGATCTCTTAATTTCATTTCTAGGAAGAGGACTTGAAGCACTTACTGATGAAGATCAAAGACTACAGACCTCAATGGGTAGAAAATCAAAATCCTCAAAACTGGACTAATAGACAATATCATGATCACAGGAGAAAAGATTCACATTGTCAGAGACTTGATTTTACTTGAATCCACAATCAATGTTGACGGATGCTAGCTAGCTCACTCACTCACTCTCTCATTGGCATCCAGTAAATTTTGACTCATATCAACCCTACAGGGCTTCTCTAGGTTCCTAAGGCTAAATCTTTAAAGGAGCAGAAAGCCCAAGCAACAATCAAGAAATGAAACAATGCAATGCATTGGGCAAATTTGCTATACAAGTTCTCTTCAAAGTGTTAAAGAACAAAGAGAGGACAAATGTATCTGGAAAAGGAGGCAACTAATTGGCATTAAGTAAGTGTGATTCCTCACTTGGAAACCAAGAAAGAGAAGCACATTTCCTTGTTATATGAAGACAAAGTTACTTGGCATATAGAGACGACCTCTCGGTCCTTCTGATTCAGCCAGGAGAAGGATGCTGCCCCCTGAACTTCAGTTCCTTGTTCTGAATCTGAAATCAGTTCTAAGAACTGAAAAAATATTCCGTTCACAAATCTTCTCTTTCCGCACTTACTCTACTTGCTTCAACTATCCTTATCGTGACTTTGAGCCATTTCAAGTCCTGTTAGTCTCTTCTGAGCTCACTACAAGTTGTCGGAACCTATCAACTTCATGGCCGAGGAAGGAAAGTAGTTCGTCATTTCAAGTATGATGAGAGCTTCTGACGGGCCAGCTTGGATGAGGCACCCATGAAGCGGCCAGCTTGCCTCCAGACCTCATAGCTCTAAAGTGGAGGAAGAACAAGTTCCAAAATGACAGGGGAGCTGGGCAGACAAATGGGAAAATTTGGCTAACAATATTCTAGAAACTTTTTTTTTTACAGCAAACTCATCTTTTATGAGCAGGAGGTCACACGCGTAAAGGGTTAAGGTAATAATAACCGTCTTTTTTAAATGTTCTTACTGTGTGCCAAACACTATGCATCACTTTGTATGCATGATCTCACTGAATCCTCACAACAAACCCGCTCTTTATAAAAGGCCATCCTCTCAGCTGGACTCTCTGAGAACTGGGCTGGCTATTCCGTGAGTGCCCCCAGGAGCACCTCCTGAGTGTGGAGACCCCCATGTGGGAGGGAGGGAGGGCTGTTCTTGGAGTCCTGTCCCTCACAGCATGGGCGGCATGGGCTCCAGATGACTTCACTTCTTCCTGCAAAACTTTTGCAGGGTTCTCTTCATTTTCCGTTTGCTCCCAAAGCCTTGGTGGTACTAGTGCTTGTCTGCTGATAGAAGGCTTGGTTTAAACCACCAGCCACTCCAAAGAAGCGAGATGAGGCCATCTGCTCTAGAAAGACTTACAGCAGCCTCGGAAACTCTTGGTGGCTGTCTGCTCTGTCCTGTAGGGTCACTGTGAGTTGGTATTCATTCAACAGCAAGTTTGGGTTTATTACTTGCTTCAAGTCTGGTGCTCACAAAAACTCCTGTCTTCCGTGTTGAAATCCCTTGGATTTGTATTTCTTTTCTTTCTGTCCAACTTTAAATCACCCAAAGAGCTGGACTGGAACTTAAAAGATCTGGCATCTAAATTGTTCATCACCTTGGACATGTTATTAACTCTCCTGGTCTAATTTCTTCTGTTATCAAATGAAATGACTGGGGAAGTCTTTAAAATGCCTTCCTGTGGAAGATTTTAATCTGTATTTTTCTCAGGTGACTCTTCATTGGACTTTGTGATACCCAGAAACAACCTTGGTAAATATTATTACTCCCCTTCTTGCAGCACCCAGCAGCTTCACCTTCCTTTCTTTCTTTCTACATATACTTTGTTCCAAA